CTACTTGTGCGACGCATGATAAAGAAACAATGGAGAGTCAAAGGTCACAAATCAAAGGTATACGTCTGCTACAACCGGCTTAATAATGTAATTCTTGCACAACAGGTTTTTACATGAGTCAGCCACAGTGTTTTTAAGATTCAACCGCAGAGCATATTGAACAAATTTCAAGAACTGAGAATTGAAAAACTGAATATAAAACATGCCACACTTGCTTGTACCAGTGCATTTGAAAAGGCTTTGATCTTCAAAGTCTAAGCAAAGGCTAAAGATTTGACCCTCAAGCTGAGGCTCTGTGTCATTAATAGCTAATAATATACAGTACAACATGTCATATCTTGATGAATAACTCGTAGTATAAGAAGAAAACCTTGTCTTTATTTACAATGTATACAATGTATGACTGAGTAGAGATTCAGGTCTCCGTGCACATATCCGCAGGAACATAATTGCAAACAAATACGTATCGTAACAGGCGAAGAGCATCATTTTAGTTAGGTGTACTTCATTTTTAACGAAAGTCTATTAAACAATGACGTGTTTATAATGTCTTAGGTTCAACACAGGGATAAGCTTTTAGGAAACATCATTCTGTTTCTTCTTCAAGTTTCAAATAGGAAGATAAATTGGGCTAGACTGGTTGCAAGGGAGGATCCATGAACCAAAAATATTTGTTGAGGGTGGTGGTAGCAAAAATTGAAGATTTTTCATGTAATCTTATTTTTTGTTTGTTTCTTTATTTCCATACATCACAATAAGAATACAATTATCATCACCATGGGTTTTGTGTCATCAGTCGTTTATCGACCGTCGAGATTCGCAGCTTCTGAGCCACGTGGCTACTCTTTCTAGAAGAGCATGCGCCGAACCAGCATTTCGTCCATTCCGACGTCACGTGCCAGAGACTTCCACGAGTCTTTTGCAAACTTGTGCTCGGATTTGGTAAAGAGCCACTGTTTCTGCTCACTCGAGTTGGGCATACGCACCGCATGTGCAATGTATTTGATGTGTTGTTTTAGGCAGAACTCAGTGATACGGGTTGTTTTGCAGATTTTCAGGATCTCCTTGGCGGATACCAGGCAGAAAGCAAACGCTCTTATATGACCTGGTTCCTTATTTAACCCATTAATGTCTATGTACACGTATTGCAAGGATGAATAGAGAAAAAGGGTGTCAGAAATGAAATAACTGAAGGTACGCCTGAACAACAGAACTCAACAAGGATCTTTAAACTCGGTGCGAAACGAGAAATGAAAGCAAATCTGAATACGATTGCCTACATTTAAACTGGTGACCTTTAAAGGGGCGAGGCTATTTTGTGATTTTTGCAGACGCTTTTTTTTTGGGGGGATGGACCCAAAATGCCCTTTTTTCATCATTTATAAATGGCTTTTTTTGATGGAACACCTAGCCCTTGTTCCCCCCCTTCCGCTTTTTTTTGGATTTGGTGACTGATAGCGAGTACAGGACAGCCGCCTTTTGCTGTTCTTCGATGGATGTTTCTCTGTTGTAAATATACATGTATAAATAACAGGTTAACTGACTTACGTCGGGACTCAGTATGCGCCTTTGAAAAAATAAATTATTTACAGTAGGCCTATTAACATAAGTTCCTCCTTTCCCCTAAATAATTTTTAATTGTAGTTTATAACGGCGTACGTAATCGTTTCACTGGGTATGTCATAATGAATTGAACAACTTGGATAGAAAATTCTACGCAAGCCTACGTTCACGTTTCCCTTAGTTTTTACCGATACTTCACATTAAAAAATGGCTTTTGGTTTCGAAACAGTCATGTAAGTGAGCAAACTAAACAAATACTGCGAGTATTTTGAATCTAAATATTCATGTGAAGTTGGCTTTCCTTAGTGGGTAATTTCACGCTCGAGATCTGTTTTCTCTATTCAGATGACTGACCTGTAGAGCAGCAATGGCCTTGGACAACGTTTATAAAGCACTATTCTTTCTACAATCAACAGCCTTCCTCCTGTTCATACTATGTAAGTAGGGTTATAAATTTGTAAATGCTATAAGCAAGGTTTCCCATCTGAACAGGCAAGCCTTGTGTATATACTATAGCACGTCCCAGCATAAAGTCATGTAGTCGTGAAGTCACAAATTGGACAAAAAAGAAGAAACCAAAATAATTACTTCTGGTGCTCGTAAAACGTTATAAAAAGGGTACGCATTCGGGCATGGGACTTTCAAAGGATTTCTTTTCCCTTAAATTCTCTGGTCTGGTTCCGCAATTCACATAGCCTGAGCCATACAACCCATGCAGATATACCGGCAGGGTTTACATTAATTTTATGAGGCTCGTGTTGGGATCACTCTGAAGAATGCGATGAAACTCGTTGATTGATGAAGTTGGAGAACAAGAAATCAGTGGGCTTATATACCTTTCACTTGAAATTTAGATCTGAGTAACTCGAATGTAACTTTCAAACACTGAATTTTAGTTCAGCCATGGCGACCAGGGAAACACGCTTGGAAGTTTCAAACCAAAATTGTTGTAAAACTATTAACTTGCTAAAGTAATCCCAGTGTGCGGCATTATACAGCAAGCGAAAGGATCATGGTCGCGGAAAGAACGATACAATCGTGCCAACTTTTCATGACTGGTTTGGCAAGTATAGCAAGACAGTCTTATGCAAATAGGTACGTCATATCATATCTTTTGGATTCTATTGATATTAATCTTGTCCTTTTTTATAATTTCTTTCAAATTGTAGATTATTTTCAGCAATCTGATATAATTCGTGCTCCGGCAGTCATGAGGAAATCACCATGTATATGTCTGCACAATCACACCAGGACTATAAGGATGCCACCCTGTAAAGAGCTGTTACTTCGCGGGCGTCTGTCGAACTGCACCTGGGGGGACATCAGCTCCAGACCCGGTGTTATGCTTCTGACGTCAACCAACCTTGCCTTTCTGGACATGACAATGAACATGCTGGAGAGTATAAAACGGACGAGAGTTTGCGTGAACACAACGATTATTGCAGAGGACGAGAAGGTTTATGAATACCTATGGAAAAGGGCCGAAGGTGATCCGGGCGTGTGGGTTGTAAAGACTTCGTCGGGTTACATAAACTCCAAGGAAATACTACGCAGAAACCCAAAACAGTATTATGAAATGATGAACAAACGTCAGGCGTACATTTTGACGTATTTGGAACAGGGATGGGAAATCTTGTTTACGGATACAGACACGTTTTGGTTTCGAGACCCTTTTCCATTCTTCGAGGGAAATTTCGACATCTCTTTAATAGATTCGGCCAATCCATTTGGGGTTCGAAACAGACAGTCCAATTTCTGTGCTGGCTTCGTGTACTTCAAGCCAACGAGTGCTACCCTACAGTTTGTTCAGACTTGGATTCAGTCAATGAAAACATATGGCTGGATGAGGTCAGATCAAACGGTCATGAACGGTCTTCTTTACTGGGATAAGCCTGTGCATATTGATATCAAACCCTTGGACACAAACATTTTCCCTTGGGGTCCCAAATTTTACAATCTTTTAGCGAAGAAAGCGAATTATTCGACAGTCGTAATGCACGCCGCTAGTATCCGCGGCCATGCCGCAAAAGTTGCGAGTTTTAAGAGTTCCAACATGTGGCTAATCAACGCTACGAGCCAGGAACTTCTACATATATCCTGAAACATTAGTAAGTGCATACTCGGAAAATGTGCACTGGGAACCCAGGCTAATACAAACTGCCTCACGGAGCACCAGATCTTTTGTGGTAGGCAATTGATCAGTATATTCCGACACCAGAAGATTCCAACAACCAGAAGAGGAGGAACGATGAAGCTGATTTGACCATTGCACCTGGTTCGATCATTAATTGCACTTGAGAAAGAATTTTTCCCTTAGCTTGTTAAAATGACAGAAGAAAGCATCCAAACTAACATAAACAAGCAAACAAATAAACATACACAAAATGAACAAATACTTACGTGCTTGCTTAACTTTGTTTCCTAGCTGCCAGTTTCTTTATTGTAACAACGTCCATCGGATGTAAGTTGTATGCTACAAATCTTCCCTTCTGCAATCGTTAGAGCTTGACAGTTGACCCCTGATTGTGCGCTGCCTGAACCCTTCAATAGCAAAAATAACGTGCAAAGATGTAGAATTTGCACCAATCAATGATTTTCGTAAAGGCATGCCTCCCAAAAAGGTCTTGCTCAAAATAATTACTAGTACATTAATTTATAGAGACTGAATAGTTACTTGACCTGAGACATGCGAATGACTGACCTCTCACTTCTGAAATCTAAAATACATAACCAATTCAACTCCATGTACTCGTATACATGTATACCAATTAAAAGTTCTGAAATGATTTTATATGGTTTTCTAAAACTGAAATTGAATTAGAACACGATAAGTTCAACAGTTATACTTTTAAAAATTCAAGAAAGAACCAGAAATTACGAACAGCTATTCTAATGTGTAATCTTACCTTTACTGACAAGAAGTGCTCTCATTCCAGCCAGACTTAATCTAAAGGTATGTACCCATCTCCAAGTGACTTAAAAGTGCGCAGATCGACGCCAAAAGCGTCGTATTGGGATCCCTCTATAGGGCAAGTCAAAAAGTAGTGCATTTTTCATGGAAATTATTCGAAATTTGGTACACTTGTAAAAGCATATGTACATGATGTATTCTTGGTCTTTACATATCAATTTTGAGATACGAATAAATGAGCTGATATGAAAATGGCTGCCCCGCTTGAAGTCCATCAAAAGCAAAGAGCAGTGATAGAGTTCCTTGTTGCCGAAGGAGAAACTCCTGTAAACATTCACAAAAGACTGAAAAACGTATACCAAGACGAAGCTTTAAATTACAGCCATGTGTGAAGATGGGCCCACTCTCTAAAGAATTCAGCAGACCAAAACATAAGTGGGTAATTCAAGCTTAGCAGACTAGCCTCGTAGTGGCCGCCCGTCAACTTCTGTCAACCATGCAAACAAGGAAAAGCAGACACTTTAATCAATCATATCTGACAGGCGTTTAACCATTGATGAGCTGAAGTTTTTCTCGTCAATTTTTTGAAGTCAACTCTGAAGCATACATAGAGACCCTTAAAACAGAGTAAGACTCCACCGAATGAGACCAAAATAATTTGGAGATGACTAAAATGATTTGGAGATGAATAAAGTTCTGCCAGGAATGATTATTATGATTATTCATCAGTTAAAAAATGTTAATGAGAAGAGTTAATATTTTTGGCTTACCTGTCACTGAAAAGTGGGCACTTAGTACCAATTCTGGTATTTCTTATTTTGAAAAAAGTGATGTCAAAATGAACGTAGAATATCACTATAAAATAAAAGGACCGCAGGCTTGCCGCAACACAAAATGCTCTTTGTGGTGATATCAGAGAAAATACTATCCGGCTCTTTCTGGGGTAAAGGGCTGTTTGACAGAAAACGCCGTCCACAACGGGAAGTGAAATACTGAGGGGAGTGATGGACTAACTTCAAGAAAGGGAGAAGGGTGTATTGTGCATAAAACTTGTTTAGATATTTTGCACACGCATCTTTATATACCAAGTTCACGACAACAGTGTTTGGGACGAGGATTTTCAGTAAATTAGGAAGATTCCATGTAGAAAGAGACCCATTGTTTGATGAAACAGCAAAGTCTACAGTATGGATAAAGGAAAGTTTAGGTCAGGAGAAAGCTAAGTGTTTATATTCCTGAAAACTAGTCCACCTGGGGTAAGTCAAACCTGATGAAATCTGTCTGTCATCCATCAAGGACGAATTTAGAAATTCTTTAAGCAGAAACGTTAGGCTTTGGGGGCATGGTAATGGAATAACTTTTGGGGGGAAGGGAGGAGGCATCGCTTTGGGTCAAAACTCGGGCTGTGGGGTAAATTTTGCAGTTTATTTGAACCCTCTCCATGCCTGGACCAATCAGAAGCTTTATAGCCGCAGCTAAAGCGATATTCTATTCCGCCATGAAAGTTCATATTAGTATAGCTTCATAGCAGATAGTTTTGGGGGCTTTGTGTCTACAGGTCCAATATTATTGTAATTTGAATAAAGCTGTATAGTAATACCAACATGGAATGATAGTAAAGGTTGATAACAAAAATTAACAACTGCCTTTTGAATGACAGACCTAGAAACTGAATCATGAAATCATGTCCGGGATTAAGAAATTTAGCTATTCAGACACCCATTCAGCCCCAGTCCCGATTTAAAACTAAAGCTGCCCGACCCTAAACGCATAATAAAAATTAACCAAATCTGAAACTAATTTTCAAACCAGCTTTTAAACTGAATTCATTGCAACATACTCAAACATTCATTCTTTGATTGAACCTTTGGTCGCAACCTGCGAGACGACTCTAATTAATAATACCCCAATCACACTCTGACGACGACTGAGAAGACCCTGCTATGTTGTAAAATTTAATTAAAACGTGGCTAAGGCGCGTGAAACTATAGGAAAATTGTTCTTTCCACATGGTAGCCTAGTTTAGCTTTATAGTAGATGGGTTTAGTGGCTTTTCGTCCACAGATTCAATGTTTACTGCGTTGCCGGCGTATGAAGTTCGCTTTACGTTCTCGGCACGATTGAACTAAGCGCGAGTCCCGTCTCTGCAAAGATCCAATCGGATCGTTTCCCGATATAAAAAGACTTCGACACGATTGTACTACGACCTAAACGATCACGGTATGAAGGTAATACATTGGTGTCTATAAAGATCCTACTATGATGCCAATACCCCAGGACTACGTGGATGCCCCCATTACTACCGGTTATTAATACGCTCCTACTGCGATTTGAAACCACTGCGACCCTGCTACGCACAGTCTGTGCATGCTCTTAATATTGGCACTACTTCCCCGACCATGAAGACCGTACCACGTTGCTATCAGTTCTTATTACCTTGTACAAGATCTCAACACGATTGGACACGCTCTCCGTATTTCTCGAGGACCTATTAAGATCGTGAGTGTGGTGAGGGTTTAAAACGCTTTGAACGGTTCTAACCCGTAATGTCTTAAACGTTTATATTGAAAGGTGGGCATCAGTGTGATTTTTAACAAAATGCATAACCATAATTATACAGAACGCATTTTTTTTAAAATAAAGGTTTTGGAAACATCTTTAAATACAGCAATTCAAGGATGGTTTTATTTAATAATGACTACATTCACCTCTTTAAAATTGAAAAATTTCACTTATACATACGGGAAACTACATGCTTACGTGATAGGCTATACAAATAGCGCACTCCACTATCGAACCTTGTGGCTCTCATCACAGGATGTGAGCCTTGGTCGTCATATGCAGACAGGCAACCAAGCAACTCACAACAAACGAGCGCCGGCCGTTCTGGTCTGGGGAAGTAGAAACTTGAGAAGCCACAAATAAGGTTAAATCTAATAATTTCAAGTCGAATGAATAGTGAAAAAACATTCACACAGGGCAAACCATATCAAGCTTATCTATTAACCTAGTATCTCTTTCAAAATAATCACAAAACACTTCCATTTACACCATTTACAAAATAGCAGTGCTACTGTTGTGTTTCTCTATATACAAAAACTTTCAAGATCTCCAAGCACACTGTGAGCTTCATATAAACATATCGCTGGCAAAATTCATTATTTGGACAAAGCTTTCATAAGAAGGTGACAAACAACAAAGGTAGTAATGGAACGACATATTTCAGCATGATTATTGATTTAGCATCACTGGACTAATCTTGGAAATGTTCCCCCTTAAGGCCGATTCACACTCGAGGCGAATGCCAAAGCGAAGCGAACATGACGTCAACAAAGGTTTGCAGAAATTACGCTCGAGTTGAAATGTGTTCAGCTGTTGCGATTCGCAGGGCAATTATAATTATTACTGGTTTATTGTAATTGTACTCCTCGCCACCAGTGGCAGAATTGTCAATACAATTTACAAGTACAATTAAAAACAGATCAATATCAATTTATATGTACATTTAAAAGGGAAAATTATAAGAAAGCTGAAGGTCTTGAATACCTTCAGTACCTTGCAGTAAAAAGCACATTAACCCTAACAGTCTCAAATCTTCCAATTTAAACATGATTTTACATACACCCTGGGGGGGTTAGGGTTAGTATCAGTTAATACATACAAAATGGATAAAATTGGAAACGATCAAAAAATCAAATTGACGGAAAACAAAGTCGTTTACAAAACGTTACACATGTAGTTAAATGAAGATAAGGGGAAAAGCGCAGGGGGGAAAAGGGACATAAATATTGGATATGACCAGGAAGGGGTCAAAGGGAGGGGACAGAGGGGGTAAGGGGCAGGAGGGTCAGGAGGGGATAGAGAAAAAAAGCAGCAGGGGGATATGGACGTAACTATTGGATATGACCAGGAAGGG